AGTGCCCGCAAATTTGAGCTCCTTCCTCGGCAGCCCCTGTTGGGTTCCGCCTGCCACATTCTTCAGCGACCGCAAATTTCCATGTAGTTATTTTTCTTCGCCTTCGGCGCTGTCTCCTTTCCATTTACTCCTACTTTTGTTTTACGGTGGAGCCGGTGGGAATGCTCCTGTGTGTGCTTGTTACACTTTTGGAGAACTAGTTATGATCAAGCTGCTTACATTACCAGCTAGTTAGATAGGATTTCTTTAAGAGTACAAAAATGTAAAGCACAAAGCACTTTTCCTTGGTTCTTTTATTTATTTTTTTTTGATGGTATGATATTTATAGATTATTATATAGCTAAGGTCACATAAAAACAGGAATTATTAAAATATGCAAATAAAGATTTCTATTTAATCTTCTATTTAATCTAATAATATAATGTATAAATTATCTTATCTGTATATATTATCTTAATATATAACAAAATTAATTTTTTTCGCTAAAAATTTAAGAAAACCTTTATTCAATACAGCGAGTATTTTTAGGTCGACACCCACCAAATCGTAGCATTCTCTCGGGCGTTTCTGGGGACTTGTGAACGTGCTATGTTTTATTTTTACAACTTCCTTTTGGGATCTTACCAGAAAAAGCAGATGAGGGGAGCGATGGTGAAAAAGTGCCAAAAAGCAACAAGGCCAACACAACTGAGAGAACGGGGCTGAAACTTGTGGGCCGTGCAGATAGGAACTGTGAATCAGCTTTGACTGCTAAAGTGTTCCAATTTTTCATGTCCACATCTGCATACACACACACACACACAAACACACAGCGAAGCATATGTAAATGTGTCTGTTGGCCCGCCTATGTCTTCGTCTTCTTCAGAATATCCTGCGTGTTTTTTCTGCGTTTGTTTTCCTTTATTTTTCTGAAGCCCTCCTCATTCCCTTCTTCTGTTTGTTTGAGTGCGTCGTCTTCCGCCTTTCCGTTTCCTTCTGATGGCGCAAATTACAACGCATAATTTTCACATTACGTCAGCGCATTTGGATGTGTGTGTGTGCGAGTGTTGGTATCCTGTCTTTACTTTCCTTTTTTGCAGCTCGGGAATGCGACTTTTTGTTGCTTTCTGACGTTGGTTAATGTTGCGATATGGAAATCAATATTCCTAATGGCTGTCAGGCGATACGGGCAACCGCAGGATCCCTCAAAAGGGGCTGGTACCCACTTCAGGACTCGACATGCAGAAATACGCCAGCTCTGTTAATATTTAATCGGCCCCAACGTTTCTCAAATTAATTAAATCGATATTAAACGGAGATCACAGCGGTATGCGGTTTTCAAAAGGCATATGCCAGGCGAAGTATTAATGGAATACATTTCGTGTATTTCTTTAAATAAAACCAGTTTAAGTATCCAGCTTTAAAAACATTTAATCCTTTAAATATAAATTGTTACCAATTTATTTTAAAAATAAATGTTGCAGTAGTATAAATGCGATCTTTGAACTCAAGAAAGTAAGTGTAGGAAAAACTAAAATTAAATCTTTGTGTTTGGAAAGCTTTCTTTATTATTAGAACAATATTTGCATTAAATTTATTGTTTTACAAAGTTTAAGAAAGGAAGATATGGAAAGCAGATATGTGAAATTTGTTAGATACCTTATTGAAAACTCGTGCTTTAAATAATTAGTTCAGAGATATTTTTTCATGAAAAACTATGTCGCAGATGGGTAGTTCGCATTTTCCTATGAGCCTTTCCGATTTCCGTTCGTAATCCTGTTGATATGAACTCGCCCAATGGCCTCTGCTCTCCGGCATATTTGTCAAAACTTCCGATCCCCACTTCACCACCAGAGTGGCTTAGAGTCCTTGCAGGTCCTGATTGGGTCGAAACTTGGACCAGCATGGCATAAAAGTCAAAGCCGAAAAGTAAAGTGCACACAACACTAAACAACACGAAAACGCAAAAAAAATAAAAATGAAAACGTCACAACAGAAGGACGAAAATGCTGGCGACGGGAAACGGCTAAAAACTCGCGGTAATTTGAACCTTTTTCCGTTTGGGTGATTTCTGCCATTGCAGGCCAGCAGAGAAATCAAATATCAAAGCGAAAACTTTTCCTCTATGCGAGAATGGGGCCAGCGAGAAGTGGGATGGGCGGGTTTTCCGAGAGGGGGCATTCAACGCACGAGTAATCCTCCGTAGCAACAGGTTGCCAGGTTTTTATTTTGACAACTGAATGGGGCGAAACAACAACAACAGCAGCAGCCGTATAGAAAGAACAACTAAGTGGGGACAAGGGACAGGATTAAGGTGGAAGCAACCTGCAGTTGATTTGAAAATCAAACTTGCATGAAACAATGCCAAACAATCGGGCCAAAAAAGGAGCAAACGTCGCAGCAAAAGTGGGAATCAGGCAGACAATGGAAAAGTTTAAAGTCGTTAAAATAAAAGGATTTGCACAATTTAAACAGAGCCCTGCAAAACGCTCGATTGAAATAAGCTACTTTCCCAGTCATTTGGCTGTGCTGATTTGGGAATTGACTTTTAGTTAAGGCTTCCAACCCACGTCTCTTCCCCACAGGATGTAATCTTTCAACTTAACTGAGATTTCCACTCTGCCCTCCGTGGGTTTTTCAGCTTTTCTTTGTTTTTTTTTTTTTTTTTTTTTTTTTTTGCTGTTTGCTGTTTGCCCAGGTATTTTCCTTTTTGTAGCACTCACCTTTGCAATTACCAACGGACGAAAATCGAATGGAATTGAAGTCGAGTGAACGGTTTCCAGGCCAACCTCGTGAGTTTGCCGCACTCCGAAATTTATCGCTTGTGGATTTATTTTTCAAGAGATATCCGCTTTTGATTCTGGCCAGTCTGTTATTGCTTTGGGGGGAGTCAGGGAAAACGAAAATCAAAACATAGGGGGGAGTTTATTTTGATATTTACACAGAAAGAGCAGAAAAGCAAACCTCTTAAGAACCCATTAAATATCTGATTACAGCAATTGGGGAAAAGTTGCCACAGTTTCCAGAGATAATTCCTAAAAAACACCACTCAAAATGCGCCCATAATAATTCATTTAAATTGTATACATCACAAGTTGCTGAAGTTAACCTTCCACTCAACAGAATTCATTTCCATTCGTATGGCCGAAATTACCTCTGGCAAAAACCTGCAATGAAATTAAATACGTTACCAAAATAAAATGCCAAATAAAAGCGTGAAAAATGGGACTCCTCACCCACTCGAGTGCCACACACAAACACACACTCACACACACACCGAATAAAAACCCTAAATGGGGCTTCAACGCCGTGAGATGGAAGTGGTTTCGGAGGTGGAGTCATTTATTTGCATTTCAAACCCGGGAGGAGCGAACGAGCCAACATGAAGAAAATGAAATCGGCACTCTGGCGAAAAATTCATAAAATAAAGGATTTCCTAATTGCCAATTTGCATGCAGCCGCGTCTAATTTTTGCCCATTCGCTGGATAAATAAACTTCATTTCGCGCTGGGGTTTTTCCGCACTTTGTTTTTTTTTGTTGTGTTTTGATGTGCCCTAACATGGGGTAATGTAAACTTGTTATTACACTATTGAGATTTATGAAGAACAACACACATCTGAAAATCATGATTTTAATTGCATAGCTACTAATTAGTGTTTTTACTTAAAAATCCATTACCCTAATGTTAACAAAAATAATATAGATGAGTGATCATTATTAGTCATATAACCGTTTCTATTTTAATTCAAAACATGAGGCATGTCTTATTAACTAAAACGCGTATTTTTTGACCAGAGAAAAGGATGTGTTATGCTTTTGTTTTACTTTTTTAGCTGAGTATATTTTATACACAATATTATGTTAATTTAGTTACTGATAAAAAATTAGTTTCATTTTACAACTTACATTGTCAAAAAAAAATTACCAACAAAAAGTTTGTTCTAAAAAAGGCACTGAAATTTTATTTGAGTTTTTAAGACAAGTACCGTATGTCAATAGTACTGCATTCTCATTCAGAACCAGAAAATACCATTAAAAAAACAAAATAAGCAGGAAAAGCTTGTTCAGCAGATACTTTTCTCCTGTCACATTCCAAATTTTTCCCCAATCCACAACTCACTGCCTAGTATTGAACAATTCGTTTGGATGGCTACATCAGGGTATTAAACGGAGGCCTAAGCAAAGCCCATATTTTTCGCACTTGTTTGTTTATGAATTTGTTTATTTAGTGAGCAGGCCGTGCTTTCCGACATGCTATACTATATTATACCGCAGTGGAGCCCCGTAGCTGGGTGAATTCGTCCGAATTCCACGCAAATCTTATTTGTCCTGAGCCACCGGACCTCACCCATACGCCGTAGTTCATAGCCAGGAGTCCGGACTCCGGCGGTCTGGAATTCCACGGTTTTGTTTTCGCTGCCTGCGCTGCATATTTCCCACCGCATCCACTCCAGCCTTTCCATCCCGGCACGGCATGTGCTGGGTTTTTAAATTTGCCCAATTCCCGGCATGATATGTGTGTGGTCTGGGGTTGGGCGAAAAATACGAGCCTATTTGCCTTTCAACTTGCCTGGGATCTCCGCCGTTGGTCGTGTTATTTATGCAAATGTCAAATATTTTGATATTCCGCTGCCATGTGAATGAAAGCAAACGGAAGTACATTATAAAGTTGCCCCGCCCCCGCTCGCCCGGACTCGTTTCCGTATTATTTGGCCAACCAACAAGCCGAAATGTGCCACTAATATGACCGCCCAGACCCTCTTTGCCACCTCCCCCTTTTACATCCATCTCTGAGCAGGCAGCAAGTGGAGTAATTATGGCATTTTCGGAATTCCACCTGCCGCACCCCCCAAAACCACCCACCCACCTGGCAGCCTCAACATTTTGTTGCCAACACGAACCTCCTTTGTTGCCTTTGTTGTGCTTTTGTGGGCAGAGGGGAAAGTAGGGAAAAGTAGCGAGCAGGGGAAGTGGCAATGGGGCAAAGTAAATTTTTGAAATTATTGGCACGTTAGGTGAATTACTTCGCAGAAAGAATTTTTAATTTCACAATACAAAGTCACTCACAATTTCCATTGATTATCCCGGGGGAAAAGCCCGTTTGCCTGTTGAGTTTCCCCAGAAAACATAGGCCAAAGCTCTTGGGATGGGCAGCTTGATTCAGCAATTTAATTGGTAATTAAGTTGCCCAGCCGGAAAGTCAATTAGTCAGCGACCCCGATCAATGACTAGTAATTTAAATGAGCTGCCATCCAAATGAGTCCGCCGATGGGAGAGATCAGTGGTGGCCGTGTGCCCCACGGGCCAGTTTTCCCCAGATGGTGCCGACGGGATGGACAATGATCTTCTGCTTTCCCTTGAAGGTCAGCGCCTCATAGTGGTAACCGTCATATATCTTTGCGCTGCTAAACCCGCACACAAATGCCAAACTGATGTTGTTTAGATCCACGTAGAAGCAGTTTAGCAGAAAGATCAGCGGACTGAAGCGAGCCACAAGTTCGTAGGCGGCCGCCAGTTTTTCGTTCCAAATGCAGACGGAGGTGAAGTTCATGGGTTCCTGGGCCTGCAGCTCAATGGCCTCCTTCATGGTGCGAAAGGTGTGGAGGGTTATGGCACCGGTAGGTCCATCCCCCAAGTAACGTTGGCTCAGATCGAAAACCAGGATGGGAGTTGCATTCGCCGGAACAGTCTTGGGGTCTCCCACTATTGTCCTGGCCTGCAGGTTCTCCAATCTCTCCAGGGTCTTGAGATAGACCGGATGCCCTGAGATGTCCGAACTCAGTGGTTCCAAACGATCCTTTAGGCGGTCCACAAATTCCTCCAGTATGGACTCCTGCAAGAAGAGGGTGGCCACCGCGTTGCAGGCGAAGGGATCGTGAAGGGACTCAATGAGGTAGTGCAGAGCACAGTTGATATCCCCGTCCTCACAGATAATCATCAGACGGGGAGAATTCCAGAGGTACTTGACCTGCACTTCCGGTTCCGACTCCTCCTCACTCATCGAACTCGATCGCGAATGGTACGAGAGTCTGGGTGGCTTCTTGGATCGCTCCATGGCACTATCCTTAGATTTGCTATCCGTCTCCACTTCAATGACCTTGGGAACGCTCACATCCCGTGGCTTCTTGCAACCCAGATTGTAGATGAAGTCATAGTCGATAAGTGGTGTGGGCAGCAGGGGGTACTGGTATACGAACTTCACCGCCTCCTCTAGGATGCTGTTTCTATATGGAACAAGCAAAATTCGAAAAATATGTTAGGAAAAATAACTTTAATATAAATTTAATATATGTGAAATGGAAAAAACCATCTACGATACTAGAACATACCTATGCATTTTAGACAAAAATAAAGTTAAGGAAACTACACTGAATATTTTATGCTCGTAAAACTGAATTCGTTCAGAGAGCCTGTTAAGTTTCGAACAATATTGATGAGCATTTTTAAGTGCTGGCTTTGTCAGTTGGACACCACTCCAATTCTAGTCCTTATGAAATTGAAACTTGAACCTGGAAAACTCTCACTTTCTAATCAAGTGGAAAAGCCTACCCGCCACGGTATCTTAGTTTTTGGTTTATGCCCACACCAAGGAGCCCAGTATCCCAGCATCGCAGTATCGCAGTGATTTATCAAATCACACTCATCCTCGCACTGTTCACACTTGACTTGTGCAGTTGACCGCCCATCGAAGGCCGCCCCAAACGACCTTATTGTGGGCAGAGAGATTTACAGTTGATTTAACCGTTTAAGCATGGCTAATGCATAATAAACGTTTGCCCGCAAACTTTTCAACCACTTCTGTGGGCATGTGTGGGCAAACTGGCTGCCTATGTGACTGACTCGTTGAAGGGGGGACGAATCGAGGGGGACGATTTTCCGGATTGTTTTTCCCCTTTTCCAGCCGCGTGTCCAACCTATTTGAGATAGAAATCATGTGCAGTCATTAGATTGTTTTTCGATTGACGTGACATGATAATGAATGATTTTCCTTTCGCTCTCTCCTTTGTTTCCTCCTCCTTCGCTTTCTGCGCTTTCTTCGCTCGGCGCTCCTTCCGCTTCCTTTTCCTTGGGGTCGCAACTTTTTGTGGCGGCCAACGTGCAATTTGTGTGAAAAGTGGGTGTGCAAAGTGGCGACGTGCCCATCCAAGGGCGGCATTCGGCAGGTGGCAGTCGGCAGGTGGCAGGTGGCGGCCACTTTGTTTGCTGATTTGTTTATGGCCAACCATAATGACCGATGAAGTGGCAGCTGGCCGCCTCAAGTGGTTGTTAACCCAAGTTTCGTCGGCGAAATTAACACGAATTGCAATTAAAGTGGGCACGAAAATTGAATTCGAGCCCCGTGACAGCCCGTTTTCGTGCTGTCAAATGCACTCAACCGAAAACGGTTTACTATAAAAGCGAGTGTTTTTCTATTGTATAGAGTATGTGTTTTTATAATATTGTTTTCAATTTGAAATTTAATAGGTGAAATTAAATTAATAGCAATGAGAAACTAGTCGTAAAATCTTTAATAAATATTTAGGTATTTTTTGCTTTGCTTTTGTTTACAAAGTTTTAGTGAAAGTATCCTCCAGTCCTAATTTATGGCTATGTGATTTCTTTAAAAATGGTTTTCATATTACAGTCGAGTCCCGATAATTCGAAATGGCAAGGGGATCACTTTTTTTACGAATTAGACGGGAATTCGATTTATCGAGATTTCTATTTAACGGGGCTCAAAAATGAAAAAGTCGAATAAACGGGGTTTTTACATTTCACATCATGTTTACATACGTATTTAACTTTTTAAAATTAAACAAACATTATAAGTATGTACATTCATTTGTACGTTTTTCAAATTAAAGGAAAATTAAACAATAACATAAAATTATAACAGCGAGAGAAACACAAAATTCATAATGCATAGCGACATAAAGGCGGCATAGCTGTCTACAAAATCTAACGGTGCTTTAACTACAAAAAATTTCGCATCGCATTACGATTTATAAGAGGTTACGAAACAAAATTACGATTTATAAGAGGTTCAATGTTCTTTGCGTTGCGTCAAATACTACGAATTAACGAGGGGACCAAAATGTATGGAATTTTTACGAATTAACGAGTTTTTTTCAAGGGGACAGAATTTTTTACGAATTATCGCGATTTTCGATTTAGCGGGGTACGAATTATCGGGATTCGACTGTATATGGCTTGTTTTTTAGCTTCCTCCTTTTCTTTTAGTGTGCGAATGGGTTTTGTCTTAATTGGTTCGAAGCAGATGCAAATGTGTTTGGAGCTTACTTCACCGACCGACGTTTAAAACACGGATTGACATTTGTGGCAGCCCGGAGCGACTGCTGCTGACAGGTGTGACAATGCCGGAAAAGTGTCGCCGGCAGTCGGACAACTTCGAGGGCTATTCACCTGCCGGAGGTGGTGGCCAAACTGGGGAGAGGGACACTCCCTTGTTCATTAAGGGACTATTTAAATAAAATGCCTGCTTACCCCAGTGAGATATGCGAGTAATATGTGAGATGGTTGTATAATTAAAATGTATAAATGGAATCAAAAGAATCAGTCAAAGAAAGCCGCACACACAAAAAAGAAATTAAACGTACCACGTCTGGCGTATTATAAGGACATTTCCATTTTCTACGGACACATTGGGCCTTGACAGGGGAAATGGCAGTGAACAAGCTCTTGACTCGCAGCGTCACAACTTGCCACGCCCCCCACCCCGGTCACCGCCCACGTGCCACTCCTTTTGCATGTCCTCGTCGTCGACGTCTTCGCATTTCGTCTGCTTCTTGAGCGGCGGCGCTTTGTTTTGGCTTAATTAATACGCGTTTACATGTTGCCGACTTACGCACGCTTCGCATGTTCCAGAGACATCCTCACACTCACACTCACACCAGCGCACCGCTACGCTCACACAGACACAAGGCCGACCCCAGGACATTCCCGCCCCCCTTTGACGCACTGCGGTTGACACGCAAATGCAATTTGTGTGCCAGAGGTAATTTCTGTCTCCAGGTCTTCGGGTCCGCTCCACAATACAAATGACTGGAATAAATATTTAAATAGGCGGCCTTGTTTCGCCTTCTTTTTCGCCTCTTATGAAACTTTAATTAATGTGTTAGCTACACACAAATTTTAATCAAGCACGTACTTGCGGCCTAGCAGATCATTAATTAGGTGGGGTAATTGCACAGCCCGCCGATTCACTTCCGTTTGCGTTTGCGTTTGCGTTTGGAGCTCCATTCAAATTGCCATTTAAAGTCGCCCTCGGTCCCGCGGGCATTAACATATGCTGCGGGCCAGAGTTCTGATAAAATCAAAATTTTAATTTAATTAAACACGAATTGAGTTTGTTGTAATCAATTAGCTCGGTGTTCAGTGAGCAACGAATGAGTTTTACGGGCAGGTGCATAGATCCCGGCGAAAGATATCGGTAGCACACACATTTGTAACTTCTAAATTGGAGGAGGAGGAGGGCGGAATCGAAACGACTTTCCAAGTGAATGACATCGGATAACATCTTCGGGATAATGCAGGAATTAGCCGGGGGCTGTATTAATTAGTGGGAGTGATTTTAGTACAGATCCCATTGAGTTTTTACTTGTTATGGCAGCATTAATGACTTTAATTGCGGCCTTTGTTTGCTCTTACAATGACCCGCAGTGTTATTTCTTGTAATTATGTAACAACAAATTGAGTCCTGCATAAGCATTATCGAGAATACTTGTGTGTGGAGTGGCATAATTTTAATTACAATGTGAAATAATGACTCGGCGCCATTTTCACATTGTTTGCTTTTACATTAACGGAGCAAATTAATGACAGCGGAGTCCAGATGTCAATTTCCTCGGTCAGGCGGGAATTCGGTGAATAATCAGAACTGACGCGTAATGAATTTTTCACGAATCGATGACTTTTTTCCACCGAAATAAGTTTTATTCTTAATTTTAAAGCCCGCACAAAAGTGGGAATCACACGAGCTGCTTGAACGAATGGCAGAATGGGGCCTCAATCAGCTTATGGCAGAAAACAATGCAAACGGAGAGCTTCCGGAAATTCTAAGGAAACTTTCTGTCCCACTGCTGCATGGTTGAAGGCACATATTTTTGGTTGGAAATTAAAATCAGCACCGGGCAATATTTCATGAATGCAAATTAATGGCTTAAACGCCCCAGAAAAATGGGGAATGGGAAGTTGAGCAATGCAAATATTTTTCCTGGATTTATGCAAATTTTTCCCTGTGTACTCGCACGGAAATCTGGTGGCTGAAGTTGGGAAAGTTGTATCATGCTCGCCGGAATAATTTTGCCTGCGAGAGTGAGTGAATGAGTGCGTAGCCCATGGGGCGTATGCGTAATACAATAATAATTATATGCAAAGCAAATTGAAATGCCAAGCACAAATTTTTCACTCCGTACCGCTCGCTGCTGTTATCTCCTTACAGGTAAATAAGGATGAGGGCATCACACGCCGGGAAAACTCCGACTCATGGCGTGAGTAAGAGGATTTTTTATCCGCCGCCTCTGTTGACTTTCCGCAGGGCTTCCATATTGCGTGTCTGCCGGGATTTCAGATACAAGATTAACTTGGAAAGTATGTGCGTGCTCTGTGAGTCCGTGTGCGGGTAACCCAAGCCAAACGAAGTGAAACGAAATAATCGGGACATGCAATCTGGGGAAATGCATCATTAACGACTAATTAGTGACCGAACGTCCCACATGTTGCCTCAACGAACTGTGCTGCGAAATGAAATCAATGCTGAAGAAATTGTGGCCAAAGGTTGCCTTCCGTGCTGCCAGCTCAGACTTTCCAATCCTGTCTGCAGTCCAGTCGAAATTAGCAACAGTTTTCCCTCTTCCTCCCCCGTTTTTTGGCCATCATGCGAAGGCCGTAGGGGCTCTTAATGCATTCCTGTTCCTTAAGTGCAGCTCTGGGCCACGAAAGTGCTCTCGACCCTGCGGCTGACTGCTTTGCCTGGCCACCGCGGCGTATGCGCAATAAAACGCAACTCAATAGATTATTACGTGGCCATAACTTCGAGCCGCACGTCGATAACAGGCTGTATTGTCTTTGGCCCGAAGCTCATGCACTTCAGCCGGATGTTGGCGGTAAACACAGCAGTTTGCAGCTACACTCAACGCACTGTGAAAATTTAAGCAAAATATTAGTAAATAAAAGCACGAATAACACTTAAATATTTTCCAAGCTTTTGCACTTGCTACTTAATTCTGTATTAACATCATTCTGCTTTAATTATTTTCTTTTAAATTTACAGGATTTTTGTATTTGTGTACATATATTCAATTTTATGCGTGCCATGTCTTGGTTTGTATTCAATAACTGTGCTTTAATGTCAGAATTGCAGTCCTGAGAAAACTCCCAAGACAATATTTAACTTTTCCCAGTCTCATCTTCGCTCCTCCAGTCCAGTGTACTTGATGAA